GGATATGAATGGATATCCTTCACGACGCATACGAAAAACACCAACTTCGACTTATCAGTAAAATGAAGAACTATTTGCTAAAGTGCATTTACGTATTAATATTTAAAATACGATGGTATTTTAAATATTCTCTGGAAGATAGCAAAAAATCGAAATATTGTAATCCTGCGGATACTACTAGATAGAAAAAGATGAAAAAAATCTGCGATCTTGACAAAGTAGTTGATCGAACGGCAGGTGGGTATTGTAAATTTTACAGGCGTTACAGCATACAGGGTTTATTATAAGTTATATCAAAGTATAGTAACTGTGCAAATTGTCGAGTTTATACTACTATTTCGATGGTTTAATCTAACAGAAGGTCCTGTTGATTCGGAATATACCCCATACTTTTGAGTTTACCATTTCTTAATATAACCCTCTTAATAAAGCCCGTAGGTGTGTGTTAAAATATGGCCGCACACACTGTACATATCTTTAATTTTTATTATCCGCGAATATTAAATCTAATTAAATTAAACTTTAATTCAATTTGTTTTTACATCCCATACGCAATTCTTTCATATATAAAACAATATTTGAAACAAATTAACATATATTATTATTACTCCGCGCTGTTTAGAAATATTATTAGAAATATAGATGCTCACTATCTATAATTCTAACAATAATGGCGAGTCGCCCTCGTTTACAATCGATTTAAAATCTGGGCCCTTCGTCAAAGCTTTTCGCCAAGACATCTCCTTCGTATCTCTGCGTCCCGGGTACAATCTTGACGTCATTTTAGCACACCTTTAAGGCGTTGAAGTTCTTTCAACTTTCGGCCTTCTTCTTTATTTTCCATCCGTATGCACGCACCACTCTGCAAGACATCGTATGGTATTCGTTATGCCGAATCTTTTCCACCATATATATACCCATGCGTCACAAACGATAGTTGAAAATATTCATTGTTCGCTGTTCTTGTTAATCATTTTTGTGTATGTAATTAATTCTCATTTTTGGCTGCCACTGTAGTCACTCATATTCCCCCATTATACGTAGTAGGAATCATAAAGTACACTTTATGAGGTCAATTTATGATTATATATGTATTATTATTATAGAGAAATGTTAATATAGACATATTTCTTGTTTGTTTACCTTCATCAATTGCACGTGGCTTCTAGTCAGTCGCTCTGCATTTGTGTTGGTTTCATTAGTCCGCACTCCTCTTTATTTGGTTGGTGCTGATTTTGAACAATATAAAATTACATTGATTATTCTGGCAATAGATTCCTATCGCCACAGCCTATATGGTAATGACTGGGCCCAGGTTTTCAGAGGCAAAGCTATGATTAAATAATTTCTCACTTTACACTTTATTCGCCTCTCGACTTACATTATAGGTGGGAATTCGGGTGTCACTGGAACTGGAGAGATCAAAAAGGGAGAACCCGGAGTCCAAAAGATATACTTGTCGATATGCGAGTCGAGGTAAGGAAATATCTATGTAATTTAACAAAAGTATCAATGCCACAAATATATATAATTTTTAAATATTCTTGACTAAAAATAAATGGTTGTAACTTGTAACCGAGCATTATGAATTCATTTTTCTGTCTTAAAAAAACTTTATGCGCAAATTGTCTGTTTAATACAATGTATTGTATCGATGCATCGATATTTAGATGTATATCGAACATCTTTTTTCAGGGTTAAAGTAGACAGTCCGCAGACAAGCCAGCTTTAAGACACGTGAGTTCTAGGACAAGAAGTCAGCCAAGTCTTCTGTTAACCTCTGTTAATCAGAGAGAGATCCTGTTCGTTTGATTGCCGCATCCTTAAATAAAAAATGCTTGGTGTAATTTTTATAACATATGTAAATTGATTTTAAGGCGATTTTACTGAGTTATTTTGAGTGGGATGCCAACCCCTAAAAATCCGCCTAACGGCGTCGTATCTGTTGGTGTATCAAAAATTAATCGCGATGTATGGCAACGTGTGTCGAGGGAAAGCGTCCCGTGACGTATAAACCGGCGGCTTTCACGACGACGCAGACCCTGTTAGCAGGAGAATAGCATAAAGGAAGCGTAGACGTCGCGACGCTGAACTGATAGCAAATGTTCTTCTACTAACGAGTGAAATGTAATGATTTTTGCGGGTTTATGCAGAGATATCGACGTGGGACAAAAACTAGGGTCAAGGATATTGTGCTGCCTGCTTAATAAGTTCCAACAAGGCAGTATCAATCTAAAAATGTAAATAGTGAGATTTAACAGCTTGAAAGGAGTTGGATGATAGTTCAGCTCATTGATATTTTAGCTGGGCAAAGAAATAATCGACATATGGTGCATTCGAATCTGAAGGTATTGTCTGTCAAATAAAATAGCACCGTTCAAGATACCACAAACAAAAGCTCATATTAGGTTTATCATACATTTTCTAAGGATTTGGAAATGTTAGTGACAAGCGAATATCGGACAAACAAGAGTTATGCCTTAATGATCTTTATATATTAATATGTATTAATAACATAACTTAAGGACAAGTTTCGTTACCTGTTTCATTGAACACTTTATTCCAAATTTAAAGTTATATAATAAAATTGTTATGATTTTTTTTGCATTGTAGTGGTTTACATATTTATTATTTGATTGTCATTGTCGTTTTACTTAGTCGAAACCAAAATAAGAGCGATGTGATTTTTACTTTTGAAGCATGTCATTAAAATTGTTTCTTAACTCTTGCGTAATCTGTAAATGTTGAAACTTAATTTCCTACATTGTTTCCCTACCCCTGGCGGGCGGCATTTACAGAGCTGCGCAAGTACTTTCAAGTTCACAGCAATTTTTCTCGTTGAAACGCAAAGATCTTAATGTACACTCAGGTACAAAAAAACGCAAACAGTTATTATTTGATAAAAGAATGTATATATTATTTAAATTTTTAGTCTAATTTTTAAAATTTTTTAGCAAAAAAATCAGATCCACCGGATTCTCACTTCTATCTCCATTTCATAATTATATTCATTTTCATTACGATTAACATTCTTCAGAAGCAGAAAAAAACAACAATTTCCTTATAGTGAACTCACTCACTCTTGCTCTTAATAGCGAACTACTGCATTTAAATAAGTGAACCGAACAACAAATCGTACTAACTCGCTCTTAACAAAAATTAGTATTTAAAGTCCCTGTTAGAATTAACAAAATGCTGAATATGTAAGTCATCTTATCCTCAGTTTGGTACAAACTTATATATAACATTCACCCTTCCCGTATTGTCAAAGGATGAGGTATTCTTTTTAAATTGGTCAACTTATAGTCGCTTCGATATCTTATTTAATTTATGCAATTTTTAGACACTCTGTATAATTTTGTTATCCTTTATTTGCAATTTCACACAATCACCACTCTTTTATTGATTGTTGACTATCGTATATTATTATTTCTGTTTCAATTAGCAATTTATTAAAAAACCTAAACCGTATTAAAAAATTAGAGGCACGAGACGCATATGAAAAAAGCATCTGTTTATTCATCAAGTTGACGGCGACGCTGAATAGCGTCATGAAGCGTCTGGATTTCGGATTAAGGATGTCTGTCGCTAACCCATAAATCCAGGCGGCGTGGGAGCTCAACTCTGGCTCTCACCGCAAGGAGAGCAGAAGACACAAAGAAGTATAAATCCAGGATTACACTTATCCCTTTAACGTTTCGCTAGCGTAACATCTGTATGGAGGCAGTTAAACTGGCATTCCATGCAATATGTTCAGTGCATTCGACTGTTAAAAGAAATTCCACAGCGAAACCGGTTAAATTAATTTCTGCCATACGTTCAAATCGTGTTTTATGCTTTATTTAAGTGTAAATATTGCCCTCAGTTAATTTAGAACGTATCAACACGGCAGCGATTGTAAAAAAAATATATTGGTAACCCGTTTAGAATCGAAACATACCAAAACTATTGTGGATTTAAAAATTATACTTTTAATACCTACTTACTTCAGTAATGGTATGATTAATTGGAAGTCCGAATAGTGTTTTCTGCAGAATGACATATAAAAAAGTGGCACAACGTCTTAATCGAAAGCCAACGCTAAGCAAGTTCGACTCAACAGCGGACGCAAGAGTAACCCAGAACTTTTTGAAATACTATTACAATACTCTGCGGATCTTTCTTTGCCATATTGCATGCAGTAATTTAAAAAAAAATGCATTTTGGAATTGGTGAGTACTAAGCTATGAGGGTGATCTATTAAAAGTAGTAAATCCGTTTTTAAAAACATACTAGACTTGTCAGAGTGTAAGGCGAGTTTTTCAAAAAATCTTTACTGTATCTAAAAAAAGTGTAGTGGAATATTAAAAGACAAATAACTCGCTAACGGCATAAGATATAGATATTGACCAAGAAAGGACTACTTTTTTACAGTTAAAATAATATTAGCTCGTAGGGTTAGAAATTATTATAGAATTATGTTGGATCGAGGTTTAAACGAATATCGAATAGGATTTCTCGAAAGAAATGTCTCCACCGATCATGAAATTGTTGTAATTTGTCGAAAATTCAGATTCACTTTCAAAACTATTTTAGAATATACCTTTTCAACGACTAACTTTTGCCACCAAATGCATCAAATAATTCGTTTTACATTGTATTATATAACCATTATCAAACTGTCATCAATCAATAATTTTTAAAAAGCCATTTTCAACTATAAAAAAACACAATAAAATAGATTAATTTTGACAAAATATTTTCGGATTCGTGGTAGTGCGTCAACCAAATATAAAGTAAGGCCCATTTTGATTTCCCTTTGTACGGCTTGGTCAAGTCCGATTAAAATTATGATAAAAGTCACGATAATAACGCAACAAACACCCGCTTCAACCACAAATTTCGACAATGTGGTTAAATCTTTTGAGTTAATTTTGGTAACCGCATATATTCGGCCTTATATTTAGGCGTTTGTCGATCATACTGCTCTCAGTGAACTAAGCAAGTGTTAAAGTAACGTCATGTCACACAAAAATCACCATAGAGATCCGGCATCCAATCAGCTCCTAAACTTTGCAAAAGAACATGAGGTGCGTTTATTATGTAGCATTAATGTTAACTGTCTTTAACAGTTTTTTTCTTAATATTGATAACTAACCAAAAACTAAATCTTACAAACATAGTGGTAAAATCTCGCGTTTTATTGTGTTTTATAAAAGATATAAAATTTTAGAGCTAAAATTGTTACTAAATATTTGCCGAAAACGGAATTCTCTGCTGTCTTATCAAGTTATTCGCTGTTCTTATTACTTTGATTTAGAAAGAGCTTTTCTAGAACTAGAATATTTAGGATGGTTCATCTTTTGCGCTAATTATCAGGAAGCTGGCGACTACCTGCAGTCTAGCATATATCTTTTGACTTTTGGTACTTCTACAATACTGATCTATTCTATTAGATTATGTGTTGCAGACATTGTTCCAGAATTGTGATGTTTCATATTTAAACCGTATTATACAGAACATTATTTCTCAAGTTTAAGATTTTAACTTGGGGAACTTTTTGTTTGTTTCTTATTTTGTAGCATTTGTGCCATAAAAGTTTCTAGCACCTTTTAAAATTTGTAATTTTAATATTTATTATTTATACATTGTCTGTAGATAGATTTATTTTTATTCTTGAAATGAAGCGATCAATAAAATAGTGAAAACTTTTTCTTTAACCGTGTTGCAGGATAAAAAGGACTCAATAACAACAAATGGAGGCAATCCGGTCGGTTATAAAGACGCCAGTTTGACAGTCGGATATCATGGGCCTATTTTGCTTCAAGATATTTGGTTACTTGACGAAATGAGTCATTTTACCAAAGAGCGTAATCCAGAAAGAGTAGTCCACGCCAGAGGTGCAGGAGCGTTTGGTTATTTTGAAGTTACTCACGATATAACGAAATACACGGCAGCCAAGCCATTTGCTCATATTGGAAAAAAGACGCCAATCGCAATCAGGTATCACAGATTTGCAAAATTTAATCAAAAATGAGACGGAGTGTTCCTTTATAAACAACGCCACTTTGGTCAAAATGGAAATTCCGAAGTCACAATTTTGTAAAAATAGAAAATGTTCTAACAATACTAAAAATGAATAAGCACTAATATAAATATATTATGTTTAGTGCAGTGTCCTTTGTTTTCAATTTAGCGAGACATAAACGTAACCAAACACCTGCTGACAGCATATAATGATAATTAAAAGTCTTTGAATTTTCAAAATCATTGCTACAACCAGGACTCTCTTAACAAACCGCAAAAGAAAGCATTTGTTATGGAAAAAATCTACAATATGTAAATATAAAGCTAAACTAGTTCGTTTTAAGGTTTTAAGAAAATCGCTATACACTATTTTTGAAAAATTTAAAATTAAAAGGGAATATTTTTCTGCCAAGAATTTTGTAAAATCTTTCCTGATGGAAGGCAAGAGAAAATTATTTTTATTTTTAAAAAAATTATATTAATTATTACAGATTCTCAACAGTGGCTGGAGAACGTGGATATGCTGATACCGTTCGAGATGTAAGAGGATTTGCAATCAAGTTCTACACAGAGGACGGTATTTGGGATTTAGTTGGAAATAACACACCAATATTTTTCATCAAAGATGGAGCGTTATTCCCGAGTTTCATTCACATCATGAAAAGGTAGGCTAGAGGCTGGAGTGCACTCACACCAAAACAAAATGTTGAGTCTATAAGATCGCATGCTATTTCCAGTGTTATTTCAGAAATCCAGTAACAAACATTCGTCCAGATTACGATATGTTTTTCGACATGATATCTCTTAGACCAGAAACGACACATCAAACCTTAATTACTTTCTCCGACAGAGGTCTGCCGAGATCTTTCAGGCATATGCACGGGTACGGCTCACACACTTACGGATTTGTGAATGAAGAAGGAAAATTCAATTGGGTGAAATTTCACTTTGTTACCAATCAAGGTACATTGTCACCGACTGACGGATGAATTACCTGTATTGTATCGTATATTGTAGGAATTCAAAACATGTCTGCTGAAGAAGCTCAAAAGCTCGCTGGTGAAGATCCCGATTACCACACGAGAGATCTCTACAACGCCATCGCCAAGGGTGATTATCCTTCGTGGAACATGTATATCCAAATTATGACCCCCGAACAGGCTGCCAAAAACCCTTACGATCCTTTCGACTTAACCAAAGTTTGGTTGCACGCTGACTATCCGCTGATCCCAGTTGGAAGGATCGTGCTCAACAAGAATCCAAGTAATTATTATGCAGAAATTGAGCAGATTGCAATGGACGTCGCGAATATGATTCCAGGTAAGTATTGTAAACAATCATTAGGGCATTTAAAATGTGATAAATTTGAAGGTATCGAGCCGTCCCCAGACAGGATGCTTCAACTACGTCTCTTCGCTTACAGAGATACCCATCAATATCGCTTAGGGCCCAATTATCGGCAGTTACCAGTAAATAGTCCGGAAAAAGTGAGTAACTTTTCGAGAGACGGATATGGTACTGTTAACAGTCAAGGTGGGGCCCCTAATTATCACCCAAATAGTTTTTGTGGGCCTGAAAATGATGAAAGGGCACATGATCTAACCCCTACTATTCCTTTACACGGAGATGCTAAGAGGTACTATAGCTTTAGTATTCAAGATTTTGAGAAATATTATAGATGAACTATATTTTCAGAATCGACAGTGGTGACGACGACAATTATACGCAAGCACGTTTGTTATGGCAAAGAGTGTTGAAGGACGACGAGAGAGAAAGACTTGTTACCAACTTGGCAGACTGGTTGAAGAGGACCACCACGAAGATCCAAAATCGGGCTATTAAAAATTTCGCTCAAGTTGACCCCGAGCTAGGGATAAAGTTACGGGAGGTTCTCAATGCCGACGAAGAATTCCATGTGGAACTCTAAAGTCGAAAATAGACCATTTACTTTTTTTACCCATCTTTGCTAATTGATAACGTCAGAATTGAAATTCATAAAGATTTAGATTATGTATTGAACGATCGATTAGATGAAAAACAACTAAGCTTAAGTTTGCACAATCTATATTCTAAATAGCAACATTTACTTGTTTGTACCTACAGTTTGTACCTACTGTCAACTATAGCTTCTGCAAAATGTAAAAATTTTATATGTTATATGTTATATAAATTATATTACATTATATTTAGGCTTTTTAACAATAAAAATAATTTACATAAGTTTTTCCCTGACTATTTTGATATAAATGTTGCATTAGTTAGATATTGGCCGAAATTAATAACGTATACATATGACGTAAATCGATTTGAATCGCCCATGAAACCGCACTTGGGTCGTATAGATATCGTATCTAAAATTCCACGACTTTGACGCCAGCCTTAATTTGATGCCCTCCGCCGTGGAGTGGACCAAAAAATTAAAAATAAATAAATATAAAATTTTTAGTGGGGAAATCTAAAACGCAATATCTGCGAGAGATTAAATCCTACTCGTTTGTTTTTAAAAATATTTGGTGATAAAAAATATGCTCCATTTGTCAATATAGAAAATTATCATTATTAATAACATAAATGATATGAGGGTCAAATGTTCAAATTTCAAAACGTCTTTTAAATGGAAACGATTAAGAACCTCTAATCAAAAACGTATCAGAATTTAAATTTAAAACCAAAAATAAGTACAACAAAACTAATAAATATAAAACAGAGCCCATGTCTTGAAATATTTATTTATTTCAAGTATATTCGTTGCATCATTTTTAAAATTAGAAAATTAAACATGCCCAATAAAAAATGGCGATCAAAACAACGAATTTGTTATTCCAATAACAAAAAAAAAGTGAAAACATTTCAAAAAATAGATAATTTTGGTAAGATTTTTTTTAATTTCTAAATTTCGTATTTCCGGCTCTTTTCGTTGCATTTGAAGAAAATATGTATCTTAACCACAGAAAACATGTTTTCCTGCGGTTAAGCCTCATTCACGCACATTTTTTTTTAAACCGGCTATCGCCACACCACTTTTTAAAAAGTGCGTTGCAAAACAGATAACAAAGCCTATATAAAACATATTCTTTAAATCAAGTTCTTTGTGACGTCGGAATTTTAATTTGCCAATACAACCGCGCAGTTTGGGGTTGATCGCTTTTCAATACCGTTTTCAGGAGTGCTACAAAATGTCTCATCTCGTGGCTTTCAGCGCACGGGATCCTGCATCCAATCAACTTTTGGATTGGTCTAAGAAGCATGAGGTGAGTTTTCTGATCAATTTAGAAAAACATAACGGAGTTCATATCCTTGCTTATTTTAAATTAAATTATTTAAATATATTGTATATAACTACTTTTTTGTTATTCCTCCCAACAATCTAGAGATATTTCTCGATTAATATTGCCACCTATAGTATATGCTATATAGTAAATGCAATTTCTATTTCGAACAATATGGTAGTTTTACATACACTTAGTCAATCAATTTTGCGTGTGTCCGACATTTCAAAAACTAAAAGAAAAAAAGGAACGTAGGAAAAACAAAAAATATTTTAATAAACAAGTATCATACACAAAAACTATTTCAAGCTATGCGCAATGCACCAAACTATCTTTTGCCACATATGGAAATTTATTTCCACGGTGTAATTCATTCAGTCTAAATGGCTATAAAGTTTTATAGACAAGACAACTGGGCTCGTGGCCATAATGAACAATTCATGACTAGGCTTGTAGCTCTTAACTGTTTTTATAGCTTAGAATTTCGAAGTGGTCAATATGGCATTCGGATTCGTTTTAACATTCATTTCAGTTAAAATTTAACACTTAGGAGAGTTAATATTATCATATTACGAAATAGCCGCGACAAGAAAAATGCCCATGTTTAAAAAGGTTTGGTGCTTTTGAAATTTAAAAACTTATTATTTTCGAGAAAAGTGTGAGGTTTTCAACGAACTTACTTTCTGTTGCTATGTAGCGTATAATTATATACTTGAGTGTTGCGTTTAGGGTTGCCAAATTTGCAAATTTTATTCAAAATATAGGTATCAAATCCACGTATCACATTGAGTTATGATAACTACTTTTAATTTTTCAAAAATTTCAACGTCATTTTGTGCGAGTTTGTCCAAATTAAAAATTAAGAACTTTCTGCCTGACATAATAGGATGAAAATCGAAGCATGACAACCGACGCAGGAAACCCAATAGCGATGAAGACGGCCAGTGAGACAGTGGGTTTCCACGGTCCAACACTTCTGCAGGACTGGGTCCTCGTGAATGAGCTTTCCCATTTTAGCCGAGAAAGAATACCGGAAAGGGTAGTACACGCTAAAGGAGCGGCCGCATTTGGTTACTTCGAGGTTACCCACGATATTACGCAGTATACGGCTGCCAAGGTTTTTTCCGAAATTGGCAAAAGGACGCCAATTGCGGTGAGGTAGGTATAGCCGGCCCAGAATTACAGATGGAAATGCAATTTTGCCAATTTAACTCTCAGATGCCCTACAGCTAATGACATGTATTAGTAAGAAATTTTAAATTTATTAAAATTAAAATTTTAAAAATTAAAGAAATTTAATTATTAAGAAAATTTAAATCGCCGTGTCATTGGTAATTTTTAATTTCTAAGCTTAGTCTGTGGTTAGTTTAGGGTTTATTTTTTATTCTTTATACTAAACTGTTGTTTATGCTATTTCAGAAATAATGACACTGTATGAAAAATTAGATTTATCAAAACCATTTTTTTACAATTATGCATGCGAGAAAAACAAAACGTAGGGTTAGTAGTTAAGTTTTTTCCAAGTGACGTATAAAACAAAACACCATCAATTTTCATACATATAATCCTATAACATATTTTTTTAAATCGAACACCCTGTATATTATATATGTGTTTAATAGAATATCTTATTCCGATTACAATAATGTAACACACTTTATATTTTAGTCCACTCGTTTTTGACAAATCGGCAAAAATAGGAAACTTTTATATAAATTCAAAGAGTGCCGTGACTGAGTGCAACAGCAATAATTATTTACAAATTAACATAGAACAAAAACAGTAAAAACTGACAGACATACTAAAGTAGAAAATTATTTAACTATTCCAAATACTGCTGTATGTGACCACCATTTTCCTGAACAAATTTCTCATACACTCTAATTTTTCCGGATTGTCTTTTAACTGATTGATTGCGTCTGAAATACTTTATTATTTCAAGGAGTTCTGTGCACGTGATTTTTTGTGTCCCCAAAAGAAAAAATCCATTAAAGTTAAGTCCATAGTTCCGCTATTCCCTATCCAATTACTGGATATTTCATGTTAAGAAAATTTTTAACTTGCACAATATTGTGAGGAGGGGCACCGTCTTGCTGCCATATAATCGGCGCTGATATATTTAAGGTTAAATCTTCTATATATTGTTCTATTTGCCCATTTATGACACCACAGCATATGTACACTAATTGATTGGTATTTTGTGTATTTGTGTAGGATTATTTAAAGAGCAATATATCGTATTTTGTCTATTACAACCCTTTCTTGTAGTGAACGAACATTCATCAGTCCATAAAGTATTTTTCAAAAAAATATTCTCACTATGTCTATTTAAAAAATCCAAAAAACACTTCATCCTCCTTTGACATTGTTCTGCTCTTAGTTTTTGATTTTGACCTTATATTCCTTCAAAACTGAGTGGATTGATCCCCGAATAATACCTGTCTCTTCATATACTCTAGTAATAGAGAAAACTCGATGAATATGTTTGCCTTATTTTCTTCACTTAACACATTATGGTCCCGCCATACCTTTTTAGTATTTAATACGTTACCCTTTTCTGCAAATTTCTTTGCCAGTCTTAGAAATATCTGTTTTGAAGGAGCTCGGCGCTCTGGAAAAAGCCTAACATACTGACGACGAGCTACGGTTGCACTTTTATTATTCAGAAAGTATACTTGAAGCATATCACTCCGTTCACGGATGCTAAATTCATGAAAAACCATTTTTTCTACTCCCGTCTGTAAAATACCTAATGACCCGCCGATCTAGCGTGCGGGAAGCATCGCTTTACCACGTCAATTTCGTTTCCCACGAGCCATTCGGACATTCCGAGATTTTACTGCACAGATTTAGGAACGATCGGATGTTTTCGGAGATATTTCCCACGCTTCGAATTTTGTCGTTTGTCAATTCTGACGGTAATGTCAGTGAAGGTATTCGTGTTGTTTTTCGAAAATGTACCCAAAAACTAACGGTCGTAGAAAAAGTATAGTAAGCAAAACGTTCGGTAAACTTTTTAACTCACTCTTTTATTAAAAACTCGCTCCGCTCATGTCAAATAAACTAGTGAGTCAAATGCCGTTTATCGTACTTGTTCCATAATATACTATTAACAATAATGACTTGGACAATAATTCAACCATCAACGTTGTTTACTCATATGTCAAACATAAACATATTTTTATTTGTCCGTCACGGCACTCTTAGAACTTATATAAAAATTTCCTATTTTTGCTGATTAGATAAGCAATTCATTTGTTTTTGCTTCAAGAGAGCCATTCGAAAACTAGGGAGATCCAAAGTCGTTTGATTATAACAATATAGTATTTTGGAAAAATTCAATTTTTATTTCAATATTAAACTCTATTAAACCCCTGGCGTTAGATTTCAAACAAACAAAATATATTTGAATGTAGATTGTAGACTGTAGTAGAAATGTCTTGCAGGTCACAATATGCCGATTTCGATGGATTTTAAAACAACAAAGAAAAACACGAATTCAAAAAGTATTTCACCGAGTAAATTAATATTAAATTTCAGATATTCTCAAGTAGCTGGCGAGAAAGGTTACGCAGACACGTACAGAGACCTAAGAGGTTTTGCAATTAAGTTCTATACAGAAGATGGTATTTGGGACCTTGTGGGAAACAATAGCCCGATATTTTTTGTGAATGACGCTGCGAACTTTCCCAGTTTCATTCATGCCCTTAAAAGGTAAGTCGATTTGGAATTTTGGACCAAAACCGTTGTGCCTTATACTTCAGGAATCCCGTGACCAATATCCGACCCGATTACGACGCGTTTTTTGATTTCGTTTCTTTGAGAACCGAGAGCGCCCATCAGACCATCCAACTGTTTACAGACAGAGGCATACCAGCAAGTTATAGGCGAATGCACGGCTATGGCGCAAATACATTTTCGTTTATAAATAGTGATGGCAAATTTTTCTACTGCAAGTTCCACTACTTGACTAATCAGGGTGAGCACATCTCTAAACAATAAGTCGGTGGTAGACATTCAACCATTTTTTTTTCGTATTTGACCTACATTAACAAAGTATCGATAATAAAAAACAAATTTAAATCAGTTTTAATATGATTTTTTTTCAAAATTTAACATTTTTCGGTTGTTGATATTATTTATTTATTCATTCATTCCTTAATTTAAACATAACAAAACACAATATATATATATATATATATATATATATATATATATATATATATATATATATATATATATATATATATATATATATATATATATATATATATATATATATATATATATATATATATATATATATATATATATATATATATATATTCTCACGTATTGATTCACGGATGGAAAAATGTGATGACACTATATTCCGGGATATCATCCGTTCGCTCGTTGAACTCCGACTGGAATCCTGCAAATCTTGCATCCGACTGGAATCCTGCAGACGTTTCGCCAAAATCTCACTTGGCATCTTCAATGCTCGCGCTCCGAAAACACTATGTGTGTGTGTTCGAAGTGTTTTCGGAGCGCGAGCATTGAAGATGCCAAGTGAGATTTTGGCGAAACGTCTGCAGGATTCCAGTCGGATGCAAGATTTGCAGGATTCCAGTCGGAGTTCAACGAGCGAACGGATGATATCCCGGAATATAGTGTTCTCATATATATATATATATATATATATATATATATATATATATATATATATATATATATATATATATATATATATATATATATATATATATATATATATATATATATATATATACTAAATTAGTTAGAAGATTTAACGAAAATTTAAATTACTGGTTTACACAGTGCATGAATGAAAATAAGAGACATATACAGCAACAAATACAGCTCATGCCATACCTACCTAATCTAATTGTGCGGTGTGTACTAAGACTAATCCACATATTAATTTGATTTTTAATGTTTTTTTTTCAGTTCAACTAGCAAAATATTTACAATTTTGGGAGCCACAAAAGATATATCTGTGTAGTACTGTTACAATTGAGTTGTGGTATTGTGATTAACACTAGCTTAACGCAATTGTGAAATTACAAAATATACGGCGCACTCTTTGTATATAGATAACTCAAAAATTTCATGGGTACGTAACAAAGATATGGAATCAAAGGGAAAGTCGAGAATTGATAGACGCATTTGTCAAATTTCCTATAGATTTTCTCTTTGCAAGCAGCAAGCATCTGATCTCAAAGTATATTTATTTCTTTATAATACGGATTTTATAGAGCTTAATAAGTTCTTCAATGTTAATTTTGACATATTTAGTATGGATATTTCAAAACTTTAATTTTCAATTAGAACCTATCCATGGGGTTGGATAAAATTTGCTGTCATTTTCGAAAAACTAACCAAAACAGGTTTAAATCTGTTGTTTTACGGCTTGAAAAAGATCATGAATACCTTAAGCAAAAAATAAGTACAAATACAATTTAAAGCAATAAGCAAACGCACATTTTACCGATACCTACGATTACTGTTTCCTACAAGTAATGTTTACAAAATGTTTATGCCAAATCACTAATTGAACTGATGATGTTTTCGGTCAAAATGAATTAATATTGATGATAGTTTACAAAGTGTCAAATTCATGCCCCTCCAATTTTTTTTAAATATGTTAAAAATCTCTTGAATTTGTTTCGCATAATATTGGTCAAACAAACAAATTTGTCATAGCACTCGTAGTTTCCGAACTACAGTGGCGTAGTCAGTCAACCCACATATTTTTCATAAGTAATTTGTCATTCTACAAGCTTCACGGAGATTTACAGTCTGATTCATTAGTGTAGGATATCTCCATAAACGTTCTCCACATATTTCAAATAAGACACTCTGTATATTATTATTATTATTATTATTTGATATTTTCTACCAAAAGTTAATTCGAACCCAAAGATAGAAGTGATTTTGATCAAGTTTGAAATGGTTTTCTTTTTATTTACTTTATATCAGGAAGTTAAAAGGAAGGAAATTTTGCTATAAAATAACCGATTAGTAAAGTATTTTAATAAAGTAAAATGAATGTCATACTGTTTGTAGCATCGTTTGTACAACAAGTGTTGGAGACTTTTTTTATTTATTGCAAGAAAAATTTTTATATGTTGTCGAAATAATTTCGTGGCTAATTTATGTTGCGAACTAATTTCAATAATGGAAAACAATTTAATTACTTTTTTAAAATAAATTTTTAAAGAGATATAAAAGTGTGCAGCAGTAAGTTACAGTATAACAGTATGTATATATGTATGTGTAACAATTATATCTTTTCTTATTGTTCTTCTTCAGGAATAGCCAATTTAACGCAAAGCGTAGCGGATAAGTTGGCGGGAGAACAACCGGACTTCTTAGTCAGAGATTTGTATAATGCCATTGCCGGCGGTGATTACCCGTCATGGTCATTTTACGTTCAAATTATGACTCCAGAACAGGCTGCAAAAAATCCGTACGACCCATTCGACAATTCCAAAGTTTGGTTGCACGGCGATTATCCTTTAATTCCGGTTGGAAGGTTCGTTCTCAACAAGAATCCTAGCAATTACTTTGCGGAGGTGGAACAGCTAGCTTTCGATGTATCTCATTTGATTCCAGGTGAGTTACTAATTGTATACTAACCCTATATTTAAATCGGTTGGTAATTCACATTTCTGGTAGAGTTTTTAACACCTCTTGCGAAAGGGGAATTATTTTTAGAATTTATGGTGGTTGCCTATTATAACTTATCCGTCGTTAACTGATTAATGATTAAGTACTCGTTAAATTTTTAAATAGTAACGCGTTTATTATCATTACTTGAGATATATCAACACTTGGTTATTTGAATTGTGTTGATAAAATCACGTCTACTTTTATGATAAGGTGTTACCTCATCGAACGTGTTTATAGGATTTCTTATCTTTCTATAGTTCGCAGCTGCAGTTGTTTCTCTTAATACTTGTCAACAACGTCGGATTTTACCGATTTATTAGCAATTTGCGATTTGTTGGAATGGAAGATTAATTTTTTTTTTTACTTTCCGTTTTCTGTTTATCATCGACAAGTAGACTACTAACTTAAGTTAGGAAAACTGGATTATTTTGGGTATATATGATTGCACAAATATTCATTTGTTTTTGTTTAGCTAAAAGAAGGTTACAAAAACTTTTTTTTTAATTTTTATTTGGAAATCCGTTTGGTATAGAAGCCACAGAAACAAGTTTCAATTATCTACTTAAATACACAAAATGTACAAAATGTTTATAAAATTATGACTTATTTATATGACAAATTGAATTAAGTTGAATTACTAGAACGTAGACGCAAATATTAAAAATCATCTTTAAATCTTTTAAATTATCATTTATCATTTTACCCTTTACCTTTTTCTAATACAGTAGTAGTTCTCGTATTTTGAAGATACTTTTCGAAACTCTATATAAAGTTATAGTTGTTTCATAGTAGTAATAACAATGGAGAAATTTTTATTTTTCATGCGATTAAATGTTAAGATGTATTTGTTTTGTATCTAGCTCACTCGATAAAACTGAATGTCGATTTGATATTAAGGTTTGATTTTAAGAATATTTTTTATTTACTTTGGTCCGTACTTTTAGGAATCGATATATCTCCCGATAGAATGTTGCAAGGTCGTGTTTATAACTACGGCGACACCCAGCGCTACCGCTTGGGTATTAACGGCAACCAGTTACCCGTGAATAGCCCTTTCAGGATGGCAAATTACGAGAGAGACGGCAAAACAACCCTGAACAGTCAAGGAGGGGCTCCGAACTATTTCCCCAACAGTTTCAGGGGACCGGAGAATGACAAGCGCGCTCAAGCTTTGTATCCCACAATACCTTTGGTTGGGAGCACCCAGAGAACAGATAACGGATTGACTGATAATTACACTCAAGGAAGACTCTTGTGGCAAAAAGTAAGTATACGAAAGTTATTCAAATGATTTACTTTAAATTATACAGGTAAACATAGTGCTTCAAATAAAATTTGGGGAATTTTTTCCGTAGGATTATACTTTAGATCGACGTTACGGGGTGTGTCACAAGTAGGGCTTTGTAGGAAAGTTCTAGAAACACTATTTATAGAGTTTTTCAAGTTCCTGTATATTACCTTCGAATTCTATGTAGGGAGCTAGTCCAGTTTTGTTTAAGTTTTTTATAAATTTTTGAAACGTTCAAAGGTAAACTCATCATGAGTTTTGTTCCGAACAATAACGTGTAAAAACTATATTCATTACGTTAATTACATTTCATTAATTATTATACAGATAACCGTCCAATATTATTTACAACAATTATTTAGAAATATTTAAAATTAATCCATTATTTAAAAGAAAACCTTTTGGTTTGTTGCCCAAGTTGGATATCTTCTGTCAGTCCGCTACGCTTGATACGTAAATTTTGATAAGTTTTCGTTAGTTTTGAATCTGTGTTGTTTTTACATTCTTCGACGTTAATATCTATTCTTGTAGTGATAATGATTACAGGTTCTTAAAGATGATGAACGTGAAAGAACTATCCAAAATGCTTTAGCATGGTTGAGACAAACCAACAGCGTCATAGCTGAACGTACGATCACCAACATTTTCGAAAAGACCGACCAAGAATTAGGAAGAAGATTACGAGAGGGATTAAAAACTCCGCAAATTTTGGATACACATGTCGCGTTGTAAAACTTTGTCACTTAGTGCATTGACTTAGATGCTATGAAATGTTTTATAATGAACTGAATGAATTATATGTTAATTCGTTTATTAAAAATTGTTGCATGAGAATACGAAGTCCTATTATTCTATACTTAAAGAAGGTTAAAAGTAAAGTTTAGGAGCATAACACCATCAATGCGCCATTTTCTTCTGTACTGTGTATCCTGTGTATTGTTGTCTAGTTTGCATGGCTTCTTTTACGATCTGTGTCCATGTACCTTCCTTCACCCGGTTCAGACGCCCTATCATTTCAATCCATTTTTCTCCACTCCACTTATTGTATTGCTTGAGATATTTTGCAGTCGTGAGATTCTACAACTCGGAAGTATCGCATCCATTTCTAAGGCCTGTAATTTATTGCTTTATTTTTTTGAGAGGTCCCATGTTACTGTTGGATCGGGGTATTATTTTCTTTGTGGAGTTTTGCAAGCTCCTGGCCACCATATACCATTTGGCTTCATATTCTTTAAGCTTTCATATTATTCTTTGACCAATTTATTTAGCACTAGCTGACCCAGCAGACTTCGTACTGCCTCAATCGATAAATAAAAGACCTAAACTTTTGTATAAAATAATCTTAAAAGAACAAAATGAATCCGTAAAGTTAGGTATACACCTATATTTCTTAGACAACACTGAGTGATTATAATTTTATACGAACTTTATTGAATAGCAATAAAGTTCATATTTAGAAAAAAACGCTTACATGGGAAAAAGAAAAGGGCTGTTTTTAAGGTTTTCCGGCAATTGCTATAATTTTTCTCACCTTTTAAACTTTCCCTAGACCTCCACGAACATTTCAAGACCAAGATAAGATAAATCCGTTCTGCCGTTCTCGAGTTTTAGCGAGACTAACGAACAGCAATTAATTTTTATATATATAGATGAGATACATATACATATAATGAAAAGAGTAAGTGCTATGGAGCATCCCTGGAACAAGCCTTTTGATGATGGGAATGCATTCGACAGTTTCCCGTTTATCTTTATTAAAAATGTTGTTCTTACATAGTTTGGTTTATGTTTGAGCTAGCAAACATTTTAAATATTCTGGCGTGCGATAGGTACCTTGTCGGTACGCTATGCCTTTTTTAGAGCTATAAACACTAGATATATTTCCCAATTTCTGGATTCGTGTTTTTCTTCAAAACTTCGTTCCATTAATAATTACGTCATGTAACGTTTCGTTCCTTGTAATATATGAACACTTGGTTAATTGAATTAAAGTATTGATAAAATCATGTCTACATTTACGATAATTAAAAGTGTTTATATGACTTCTTATCTGGTTATGCAGCTGCAGTTGCTTCTCTTAAAACCCTTGAATAACGTACAGTTTTTACATATTTTTAAGCGTGTGTCTTTTCAATTTTTACAGTTTCAGTAACAAATTTTTGGGGATGTCTCCAGAAGTTTGGCCCCTGTGTTACAAATGAAGATTCCTTTTTCATTTTTTTCATTTTCGTCTTCTGTTCATCATTCTCTATCAGGGTTACGCTGAACGCAATAAACTGAAAATTTATAAAAAACAAGTTCAGAGGAATAAATAAATTTTACAATGCATTGATGAAATTCCAAATTGAATTATCCAAAACAACGTGATATGAATCAAAGAAATGTAAATATTATAAAAACACACATTTCCCTTCTTGTAAACATAAAAAAGGTGATACAAAAGTGGGAACACTCATTTTGTGAGACAACAAATGGAATTCTCGAATGTTTAGGGCAAACCCTTTATTTTATTTCATTGTATTTTTTTACTTCGGGATGTTACTAACGGTAACAATGCAATGTTTTTGTTTTACTTTACTTTTAAAAATTGCTGCTGAGAACGCCATAAAAATTTATTTTGCTGCAGTATTTTTTATTTTCGGCCTCTTTGGAAAATTACAATAGTAGTACAATTATTTTGTCACTGCCGCCTTTTTCATATAATTCACATATAATTGCTTTGAACTTTTTTAAACTAATTGATTTGTCATTTTTCTCATGTATGCCGTATATGCAAAAAAGTTAGTTCTGGCTGTGGTTGTAACGAATTTGATTTTGTTTGCACATAGTTCAGTTATTTTTAATATATTGTTCATATTGCAATCAGTTGTATTTTTGTTGTATCAATTTTAGACTTATACACATTTTTGTAAAAGCCTAAATAATATTACAACATATAACTTACACTATCCAAGAGTTTGATTTTTTAAAAATTATATGAATGTTTTGCTATTTTTACTTGTTTAAACAAAAAGCACTAAAGAAATCTGTAATAATAATAAACTATTCAAAAGAAACGTATTTGACGGAAAATAAGCTTTTATGAAAAGCAAGCAAAATGCAGTCCAACAAATATTCTAAATATTATAATCGTATCTTTAGCTTTCCGATTTTCCAGAATTAATGCATATTACTTAACATTCAATGTTAAAAAAAACGACCATTCCTTCACACGAGGAAGTTTTGTTGTGCCGTGCCATCTATGTATTCGTCTGGCCACCGAGTCTGGTCGACCCACCGAAAAAAGCAACGGTAGAGGTTATTAACCCTTCTCAACGATGACGATACGTCAGATGCACTTGCTGCAGTTCGTACCCCTTATGCACCTCAAACCTCTACGCGACTCTGCTTTCCTGGTGGAAAAACCACGTGATTTCAACAACACTCCCACGCCTGAGGGGCTTTACGCAAAAGATGCATGCACACACGAAAACAATAGGAAACCTTCAGACCCGAAAGTACTCTTTTTTCGTTAAGTCCAAGAATTTGTCCGACTTTATTCCAGCCAACCAAATCGATTAATGCTTTGCGAAACTGTCATTTTAAAAATTTATAGAAAAATGAGAGAGGATGGTTAAATAGATATCTTCATTTGATTAGATGGAGAGCTCTAAATCTGCTTCATTGATTTGCTGTTTTCAATACATAAACTACAATTGTCTAATAATATAATGATTAAATTAAGTTGAGTGTACTCGCTTTGGCGCGCGCTATTTCTAATCTGGAAACTGAAAAATCTATATCCTCGTATGTGTCATGTGTGATTTTCCTTATCGACAACTTGATTTCACCCGCAGTAACATTATGCTACCCTAATACTCATGTGGATTTTATTTCCAACAAATTCACGCATGATCGCACACAGGGCTGCTCCAATATCGGTCACAAAATTCAGGTGGCGAAAGGGGGATAATAATAATCGTTATTGTTTAAGCGAGAATGTTACCAATTAATTTAATTAAATGCGTTTTGTTGATGAAACGCGTAATGGCGGGAGTTACGTAGTTACCACACTAAGCCAAAGAGGCAGCGCGTTTTTCAAATCGGATGAATATTTTTTGGCAATCAGGGCTTTTTTTTATTTTGTACATGAGTTGGTGTCAATTGCATCGATTGACGGATACGCATGCAGATGTCAAATTTTTGAAAGAAGATCCACACGCTGTCGAAAGTGCCAGAAGCGATATCTGCACAACAGGAGAGCAGAAGCCGGTGAGTGTGTTCGTTTTTAAGCAGCTAGGAATCTTCTGTTTACATAATATATAATACAAACCAACCACCTCTAATATCAAGGCAACATTTCTATTAGTTTATTATAACTTAGTAGGAGAGAACATTCTGTATCGGCTATTCTTTTGTGACCATTAAAATATGAAAAGAAAGCACTCACCAAATGTGTCACAAATTACAAGGGCATCATGTTTTTTATGATAAAACAAATTAAACAAACCTTCGCAGATGGCCGGCCATCTGCTCGAAGTTAGAACAAAAATGTCTTCCGCCATCAGGATAACATAACGTAAAAGTGATCAATTGGTTTTTCCGTTAATTTTATGCAACGTATCGAAATTTAAGTAGAATATTTATCAAAGGAACAGAAGCAAGCGACAGGTTACACCGTAGCTTCAATATTCTACCCAGGCACAACTTATTCGTATAAAATAATGCTCAAAAAAATCTCCAACATTATACGTTCAAAATCAAAAGACGCTCGCTGATTGCAAAACCATTATTGTAGTGGGGGTCTCGAGAAAAACTCTCAAAAATTGTCCCACAAAGGGGTAAGATAATAGTGAATTTCTAATAACAGGGGACTAGTAAAATAAAGGGGTCGAAAAAAATACGTTTAAATAATAAATTGTTAGCGCAATTATTGCCGTAAACATCGTCAGAGTATGCGCCATTATTCACTCACCTGGTTAATAAAATAAAACTAGATATTTCACAAGTTAATTAATCTTTCCGACGCCAAATAATTACTGCAACATGTTTTCTAGAGCCCCTGTCGCATTCGCCATAAATTAATCGCGGTTGATATAATCAGAAATTACAATACACGGAAAATTAATGCTAAAGTATAACTAGGCATGAAAATGAATGAACGAACTGTAATTAAACATGGTTTCATAGTTTACAATAATTTTAATGCTAAAGATTATTTTACTCGATACGGACAATGGAATGCGTAAAACCCTAAAAATATTTTTTTGGAAAGTATTTGGCCATGATTCTAACTTTAAACTATTTTTTGACCGGCCCATTTATACATCTAATTACCCAAACGATTAACTGACCCGGCTAGGTTTTTGTTTACCTTTGATTTATCTACCACGACATGCAACTTCACGCCAGAGGCGTAGAGGAATAGTTCTTTCGAAGCGCATAAAAGTAGAAATGACAGGTACACCAAAGTCAGAAATCAGCTCCTTTTAATGATACTTCATAATAATATATATAGAAATATAGTTATTTAATTTAGCTCAATAGAATTTTTTCATCCTAAGGTATTGTTTCTTGAGGATTCGCCAAAATTTTGAAAAAGTTTCACAATGAAATGGAAAATCGCCGGTTTAGAATTCTTGGCTGAAGTTATGAATGATTCAGATTTATTTAAATTAAAAAAAATGACGAAATCGATGTAAGTGGTTGGCGGCTAAACCACTCATAAAGCCGAATAAAAGACGAAAATAGACTTCCTACTAAAAAATACCACAAAATTGATCATCAAATCCAGTTGATGAGAGTTTATCGTGAGCGTGGTTGGTACTATAAAATACAATGTTGCACATGTGCAGTGTGGTTAGTTTGGCAATTATATTGTAAATATGTGAACCATAATATGGTATCTGTATCTGTACCAATATATGAACAAAAATGAGCATTTAGTTTATACTCGGTCATTTGGAGTAAATTATGAATATAATATGAATAAAAGGCAATAGCAGCAAAGATTTGTTTTAACCATTCAATGTGAGAATCTAGTCCATAATTTTGGAGTTTGATAGGTAGCACTAATGTTGATAAACTAAAAAACTTTTTTAGATATGTTGGTAACCCGAGTCGGAGAAGATGTCAAAAATTGTGACGACAAGTGTTGCCCAGAAATTGTAGAATATTTAATAAGGTACTTAAAACTTCACTTCATTTTACCTGAACTCGCTATAGTGAGCTCACTGTTTTCTGGAAATAGATGGTGACTTGTCAGTACGACGTATTTTTGGTTGGCTACACGATGCAAACTATTCTGTTTGTTTTCCAAATTCCACTTCTTATTTTTTCAGTCTAGTGACTATTATGAAGATATTGTAATTATATTATTATTTCGAACAAATTGATAATAATAAGATACATTTTATGTATATTTGC